CCAATTTCCGCCAGTAGGGGTAAAAAGAGAGCAGTTGGGGTAAAAATAGAAGTTGTGAAAGTTGTGCCCTGTCCTCCTCTACTGAATGACACTTGTTTGATGTCTCTGTCTCACTGCCTGTCAAAGCTATTACAAAAAGAATGTTAATTTTGGACATGCAATACCAATTTCCGCCAGTAGGGGTGAAAATAGAACAGTAGGGGTAAAAATAGAGGTTGTGAAAGTTGTGCCCTGTCCTCCTTTACTGATTGACACTGGTTTGATGTCTCTGTGTCACTTCTGGACAAAGCTATTACAAATAGAATGTCAATTTTGGACATGCAATACCGATTTCCGCCACTAGGGGTGAAAATAGGGCAGCTGGGTTAAAAATAGAGGTTGTGAAAGTTGTCCCCTGTCCTCCTCTAATGAATGACACTTGTTTGATGTCTCTGTCTCACTGCTGGACAAAGCTATTACAAAAAGAATGTTAATTTTGGACATGCAATACCAATTTCCGCCAGTAGGGGTAAAAAGAGAGCAGTTGGGGTAAAAATAGAAGTTGTGAAAGTTGTCCCCTGTCCTCCTCTACTGAATGACACTTGTTTGATGTCTCTGTCTCACTGCTGGACAAAGCTATTACAAAAAGAATGTTAATTTTGGACATGCAATACCAATTTCAGCCAGTAGGGGTGAAAATAGAACAGTAGGGATAAAAATAGAGGTTGTGAAAGTTGTGCCCTGTCCTCCTCTACTGAAGGACACTAGTTTGATGTCTCTGTCTAACTGCTGGACAAAGCTATTACAAAAAGAATGTTAATTTTGGACATGCAATACCAATTTCAGCCAGTAGGGGTGAAAATAGAGCAGCTGGGTTAAAAATAGAGGTTGTGAAAGTTGTCCCCTGTCCTCCTCTAATGAATGACACTTGTTTGATGTCTCTGTGTCACTGCTGGACAAAGCTATTACAAAAAGAATGTTAATTTTGGACATGCAGTACCAATTTCAGCCAGTAGGGGTGAAAATAGAGCAGTAGAGGTCAAATTTGAGGTTGTGAAAGTTGTCCCCTGTCCTCCTCTAATGAATGACACTTGTTTGATGTCTCTGTCTCACTGCTGGACAAAGCTATTACAAAAAGAATGTTAATTTTGGACATGCAGTACCAATTTCAGCCAGTAGGGGTGAAACTAGAGCAGCTGGGGTAACATTAGAGGTTGTGAAAGAGTTCCCCTGTCCTCTTCTAATGAATGACACTTGTTCGATGTCTCTGTCTCACTGCTGGACAAAGCTATTACAAAAAGAATGTTAATTTTGGACATGCAATACCAATTTCCGCCAGTAGGGGTAAAAAGAGAGCAGTTGGGGTAAAAATGGAAGTTGTGAAAGTAGTCCCCTGTCCTCCTCTACTGAAGGACACTAGTTTGATGTCTCTGTCTCACCGCTGGACAAAGCTATTACAAAAAGAATGTTAATTTTGGACATGCAATACCGATTTCCACCAGTAGGGGTGAAAATAGAGCAGCTGGGTTAAAAATAGAGGTTGTGAAAGTTGTGCCCTGTCCTCCTCTACTGAATGACACTTGTTTGATGTCTCTGTCTCACCACTGGACAAAGCTATTACAAAAAGAATGTTAATTTTGGACATGCAATACCAATTTCCACCAGTAGGGGTGAAAATAGAACAGTAGGGATAAAAATAGAGGTTGTGAAAGTTGTCCACTGTCCTCCTTTACTGATTGACACTGGTTTGATGTCTCTGTGTCACTTCTGGACAAAGCTATTACAAATAGAATGTCAATTTTGGACATGCAATACCGATTTCCGCCACTAGGGGTGAAAATAGGGCAGCTGGGTTAAAAATAGAGGTTGTGAAAGTTGTCCCCTGTCCTCCTCTAATGAATGACACTTGTTTGATGTCTCTGTCTCACTGCTGGACAAAGCTATTACAAAAAGAATGTTAATTTTGGACATGCAATACCAATTTCCGCCAGTAGGGGTAAAAAGAGAGCAGTTGGGGTAAAAATGGAAGTTGTGAAAGTAGTCCCCTGTCCTCCTCTACTGAAGCATACTAGTTTGATGTCTCTGTCTCACCGCTGGACAAAGCTATTACAAAAAGAATGTTAATTTTGGACATGCAATACCGATTTCCACCAGTAGGGGTGAAAATAGAGCAGCTGGGTTAAAAATAGAGGTTGTGAAAGTTGTCCCCTGTCCTCTTCTAATGAATGACACTTGTTTGATGTCTCTGTCTCACCACTGGACAAAGCTATTACAAAAAGAATGTTAATTTTGGACATGCAATACCAATTTCCGCCAGTAGGGGTGAAAATAGAACAGTAGGGATAAAAATAGAGGTTGTGAAAGTTGTCCACTGTCCTCCTTTACTGATTGACACTGGTTTGATGTCTCTGTGTCACTTCTGGACAAAGCTATTACAAATAGAATGTCAATTTTGGACATGCAATACCGATTTCCGCCACTAGGGGTGAAAATAGGGCAGCTGGGTTAAAAATAGAGGTTGTGAAAGTTGTCCCCTGTCCTCCTCTAATGAATGACACTTGTTTGATGTCTCTGTCTCACCACTGGACAAAGCTATTACAAAAAGAATGTTAATTTTGGACATGCAATACCAATTTCCGCCAGTAGGGGTGAAAATAGAACAGTAGGGATAAAAATAGAGGTTGTGAAAGTTGTCCACTGTCCTCCTCTACTGATTGACACTGGTTTGATGTCTCTGTCTCACCGCTGGACAAAGCTATTACAAAAAGAATGTCAATTTTGGACATGCAGTACCAATTTCAGCCAGTAGGGGTGAAAATAGAGCAGCTGGGGTAACAATAGAGGTTGTGAAAGAGTTCCCCTGTCCTCTTCTAATGAAGGATACTTGTTCGATGTCTCTGTCTCACTGCTGGACAAAGCTATTACAAAAAGAATGTTAATTTTGGACATGCAATACCAATTTCCGCCAGTAGGGGTGAAAATAGGGCAGCTGGGTTAAAAATAGAGGTTGTGAAAGTTGTCCCCTGTCCTCCTCTAATGAATGACACTTGTTTGATGTCTCTGTCTCACCACTGGACAAAGCTATTACAAAAAGAATGTTAATTTTGGACATGCAATACCAATTTCAGCCAGTAGGGGTGAAAATAGAGCAGCTGGGGTAACAATAGAGGTTGTGAAAGAGTTCCCCTGTCCTCTTCTAATGAAGGACACTTGTTCGATGTCTCTGTCTCACTGCTGGACAAAGCTATTACAAATAGAATGTCAATTTTGGACATGCAATACCGATTTCCGCCAGTAGGGGTGAAAATAGGGCACCTGGGGTAAAAATAGAGGTTGTGAAAGTTGTCCCCTGTCCTCCTCTAATGAATGACACTTGTTTGATGTCTCTGTCTCACCACTGGACAAAGCTATTACAAAAAGAATGTTAATTTTGGACATGCAATACCAATTTCCGCCAGTAGGGGTGAAAATAGAACAGTAGGGATAAAAATAGAGGTTGTGAAAGTTGTCCACTGTCCTCCTTTACTGATTGACACTGGTTTGATGTCTCTGTCTCACTGCTGGACAAAGCTATTACAAATAGAATGTCAATTTTGGACATGCAATACCGATTTCCGCCAGTAGGGTGAAAATAGGGCAGCTGGGTTAAAAATAGAGGTTGTGAAAGTTGTCCCCTGTCCTCCTCTAATGAATGACACTTGTTTGATGTCTCTGAAAGAGTGTTAATTTTGGACATACAATACTAATTTCCACCAATAGGGGTAAAAAATAGAGCAGTAGTAGTAAACTTAAAGGTTGTGAAAGTTTTCCCCTGTCCTCCTCTACTGAATGACACTAGTTTGATGTCTCTGTCTCACTTCTGGTCTGGACAAAGCTATTACAAAAAGAATGTTAATTTTGGACAGGCAATACCGATTTCAGCCAGTAGGGGTAAAGGAGGGGTTGTTAAAGATGCCCACTGAGTCCCCCTACCGAACTGCACTGGTCTCATGTCATTAGGCCCTTTAGAATTAAAAATCCATTACTAAAACATACACTCTGCGTTTTCCTTAAAAACGAAAAAAAAGTGCACTTTCCCCACGGTCCCTTACTCGCTTCTCCGTCTAGAGCGAGCTTTCCCGGCGAAACTCACATTTCGGCGGCTTTTGAGGGGCAGTGCTCCGTGTATAAAGCGAAAATACGGAAAATTAAGCTTGTGAAACATTGTTAGCCTTGCATTATAGCTGCAATAGTGTTTAAATATTTTTTTGGCCTAGTCGTTTAGGAGGTATTGCCATTTTTCAGCGAATGTCCGGGGAATATCGAAAACAAAACTAACTTTACCCCGATCGAACACCGCTCTTAGGACATTGATATTTTCCCAAATGTTGGGTTGGGCAAGTTGAGACATGTTTGTCAGAGCAAAAGTTCACAAATTAATGAATTATTACTTCTTACTATTGAAGAATTGAATTGGATTTAGTGAAGACGTAGCAGTAGTTGTAGTGTAATCAAATAAACTTAGCAAATAATACTTTATTTTAAAAATATGTATTCGCTCATGTCTATGCCAAAAACCTACAACGTTTCTTGTAAATAAGCATATCTTCAATTCAAAGCATCATAATTTCATTAAAAAGATTAGGAAATGGCATCACCATATTTACAAATGATCAAAGTCGCTTTTAAGTCTTTGATTTTTTTATGCATTCTTTCACTGTTGAAACTTAAACAATAAAACATCATGTTGGAATTCTTCGATTTTAGCACTCGTTTTATGTTAACAGTATGTCCCATCTTCTTTGATTGGTAATCTTGGTGATTTTGACATTGACGAGCACTGTTAGACCGCTGAGGCAGACCGGCCTAAAAAGTGTTTAGAGTGCATCAGAGCAGCATCAAGAATATCAAATATTTGAGGGGACGCTTTGGTCACTTCTAATTATTGGAGGGGAATTATTTCCCTCAGTGTCTATTATGGTTTCAGTCCCGTCACAAAGTATTGGCTTTTTAAGGTTGTTTAAAATGTTTTTCCTTTATATCATTGATTTTCTATTTTACATTATGGAGCAGAATATGGATCCCCAGAAGTTTCACGAGATTGACGAGAACCTGACAAGTACTGATGTGGAGCAGCTGAAGTTTCTATGCATGAACCTGATTCCCATGAAGCGTTTGGAGACCGTGAGAGATGCCAAAGACCTGTTCCTGCGACTGGACGAGCAAACACTGCTTGATGACGAGCTACTTGTCCCCGAGCTTCTGATCACAATTGGGCGCCTTGACTTGCTTGACATCCTGAACACTTCGAAAGAGGAAGTGGATAGAAAACTGACAGAACGTGAATTTCCTAGTAAAGTTGTCTCACCCTACAGGTATGAAGAAAATTCCCAACGATCCATGAATGTAGATTACTACAATATAAAAAACTCCCTTAAAGTTATTGTCTGATAGAGATTAGCACACTGACGTGCTAAACAAGATCCATAGAAGTCAAGAACACTGTCAATAGCAAATAGTTTTTTGTTTTGTTTTTTTGGAAAATGCAGCTTGTTCTTACTCTACTTTTAATATTTGATGTCACAATGTGTGTTTTGTTTTCCTCTTCTCATCAGAAAGATGCTTCTTAAAATATCCGAGGACATGACAGAAGAAAACCTTTCCTCTGTAAAGTTCCTTTCGGATCTTCCAAGGGCAAAACTAGAACCATCGACTGTGAGTTTTATCTTAAGCCCTGAAGTTATAATGTTAGTGCTGATTGCACTCAAATAATAAATTAATGTGAACGTGGAATATACTATTGCTGATAACGAACTAATTTGACTGCAAAATCTAGCTTTGTAAATTACATTATTTTTCAATTTTATTTAATTAAAAAAAAAATATATTTTTTTTTTAGTCTATCTACTATTTACTGTATTTATGGTTTGCTTTTTAACCTGTTGTTTTATTTGAACCATACAGTCACTACTAGATGTTATGATTGAGATGGAAAAGAATCAGAAGCTTGGGGAAGACAACCTGGATGAACTTTACAGTATTCTTTGGCGATGTGACAAAAAGCTGGCCTTTAGGATAGAGGAGTTCCAGAAAATGGGCAGAGGCCCAGAACAAGGTTACTGATTAAATCAAATGAATTATCCATATCTGCTCTTCTCATTTATCCAAACATATACAACAATGTTTTGTTTTTTCTTATATTTTGAAGAGACTCACAGACCTCATGAGGAACCCCATTTACCCATTGTAAGTAGGCCAAATCTTTGCCTCAATTTTCACACATTATGACAAATAATTCTCATGATGTGGTTATTTTAAATTGTTGGAGTCTGGGGATCCCCTGCCATGGATTTATGTATTTATTTATTTTGCTTAACTGCGTTAAAATGGTTAATTTGTTCAATTGTAGACATAATATGTAAAGAAAATTTTACTAACACTTTATCGTCCTTCTCCCATTTTCACCTCAATTTGGGTAGGCTGTGCTTCCTTTGTCTCCCCCAATGAGCCGCCACTGATCTGGGTAATCTTAGAAAATGTGTAAATATTTGTGTAACATTTACACCCACAAAATCTAAAGCAGTGTTTCTCAACCAAACTTTATATTTACCTTTAAGTGGTGAGCCGACAGCGAACCAAATTATTAGTAAAAACTATTAGATTCTTCTCCGACAACCATGTTTATCATTGTTCTAAGTGAACCTGTTTAATGTAGTCTAAGACATATTTTATTGCCTTGTTTAAATGATTTTAGGATTATGGAATGTTACACAACCTGTCAATATTGGCATCTGCTTAGTTTGGTGTTTAATCTGCACCAAGTGTCAGATGTATTTGAGCCAAAATTCTGAGTTTGACTGAATACACCGCCTTTATATGCGAAGCGCTGTTTCCTCTCTTTTAAGTTTAGTCAAGCCTTTTTGTTTTGCTAACATAAAATACAGTTACACTAGAGTAGTTTTTACCCTGCTGTACATGACCTGGGTTGTTGAGAACCACACATCTACAGCTTATATCAGCAATTAATATTTTCACATAAATTAACATTCTCAAAATAAAGAGCCTTTGAAAATATCAGTTAATAATAGTAGTAGTCACATTCTAATACAGAGTGCAATTTAATGGATAATATGTGTTTCTCTTTCCTCCACATCTTGCTGTCAACACAACAGGTGAACATAGAGAGAGGGGAAGGACGTGAGTTATATATGTTGTACATTGTTGCACATTAATGATCTTTTTAAATGTATCTATTTCTAATCTTATACGCTTTTCCTAGGGAGAAGAGACTCTTCTATTGGCTCTGTTTCCACCGATTCAGACACTCCACCCAGGGTAAAAAAGACAATTACCTTTTATTCTTTATTGTTTCATTGTTAAATGACTGCTTAACAATGACTGCTTAACAATGACTGCTAAAAGACTGTTGTATCTATACACATCCAGGATTTCACATCAATTTTGAATAATTGTTGGATCAGGGTCATGATGATCAACTGTTTTAATAGAACCCAATAGTCCCACAACTGATAGATTTGAACTTTTTCATCAAGACATACTGTAGCACATGCTAGTAACAAAAGGCTGTTTTTAATTTCCATAGTTCCACTGCTGAGACAAATAGGATTTAACAATGATGAATTATGAATAAGATTGTTGTGTACTGGGCTGGCTATTTGTGTAATATGTAAATAAATGTCATTTTAATGTTATTTGCTTTGCATTCAAGCAGTCAGATGACTATTATATCATGACTCAACGGCCTCTTGGACACTGTCTAATCATCAACAACTACAGATTTAAAGAAAATACCTCATTGCGCAACCGTGAAGGCACTCAGAAGGACCGAGGTATTTTGGGTATTAAGTTAACCCTTTCTTATCTCATTTGTATAATTCCTTACAATTGTGACTTCTAAATGAACACTTTCTCTCTCTATTTCTGTAGAGGCTCTTGATGTCTTGTTTAAAAGAATGCATTTCGAGGTTGAGGTGCGGGACGATCTGCAAGCCTCAGATATAAGAGATGTGATAAAGGAGTTTGCAGATAAGAATCATGCTAAAATGGGCGCTTTTGTCTGCTGTGTCCTCTCGCATGGAAAGAAAGGCACGGTGTTGGGCACAGATGGTGAACCGGTTGAAATCCGTGAACTCACACAGCCTTTTTCTAAATGCCGCACACTAGCTAGCAAGCCCAAGCTTTTCTTCATTCAGGCCTGTCAGGGTGATGTGGGCCAGAACGGTATATGGACCGCAGATGGAGAAGTGAATGATACAGAAGAAGGACCATTTGAGGAGGATGCTTATAATCCAGCATTGCGCAAGATTCCCATTGAAGCTGATTTCCTAATCGGAATGGCCACAGTAGAGTACTACCAGTCGTATCGCCACATTAAACGAGGGTCTATCTATATCCAGGAGCTCTGTAAACAGCTGAAGAAATGCAGGTGAGTTAAAAACATAGAGGATGCATTCATGGCATGCCTTGAATGAAAGATATACACGTGACTTTTTATATGTACCTTTGCTGGGTCTGTATAAAGTCATGCTCCAGTTCTGTGATGTTTACTTTGCAGTCTTTAGTTTCCACCAGTCATCCCATCTATTTCCATCAGTTTGACCCATTCATGCCGATAAAGAAATGCTATTTGTGCATGCACTTCCATTCAAAAGTTTAGCGTCTTGTTTTAATAGGAATTCATATTGTTATTCAGAAAGGACATTATGAAGGGTTTTTTCCCCCCCGAAGAATTTTTCCTCCCGTCTCATGTCCGAGGCTCCATAGAGGGGTACCCCTTCAATAGAAATTGAGCTCAAGGCTCCCCAATGCCCCATGGGCCCCCCTACAACAGTGTGCCCCTTTTCCGCCCTAAGCGACAGCCCTGTTTACTCTACACTTCAGAGAAAGAGCAGTGAGCACCTGGAAGGCAATAGAGATCATGTATTCTTCTAAACCTTTCTGCAGTGGTGTCATGTAGAACTTTAGAAAAATGTTGGTCTACACAGTGTTTGATCACCTTTTTTGTCAAATACTTTCTTATTTGAATGCCTTTAAAGGGGTCATGGACTGACTTTTTTTTATTTTATATTATTGTCTGAGGTCAACTTATGACATTCGCTTGGTTTTTACATTCAAAAACATCAAAATGAATAAGTAATGGGCTATTTTCTACCCTAGTTTTGAGCCTAGCTAAAAAATGCTCTGTTTTGTGAGCGTCTCGCATTGAAGACTTGGAAGTTAACGCCCACTTTTGCATATTATAACGAGTTTCAACTCACTCATCGGTGTACATGGGGGAAATTGTTTTGAAAACTTCCAATAATGTAAAATGGCAACCGGAATGATTCGGCCATACATGTTCGACCCAGGGTCCGTGTGTTGCACCATTCCTGTCAGATCCAATATAGATGGCACATGAAATGGGCGGGGCTTAGGGGTGGGCGATATGGAAAAAATATCATATCACGATTTTTTTAGGAAAATCACGATCACGATTTTTTATCACGATTCTTTTTCAAGTTGGTTTTAATATTTTGCAAGTGGCTGTTCATTACAGCCAAACTAATGTCCTTATGTTAAAAACAAAGCCTTAGGTAACAAAATAAAAAAGAAAGGCATACATTTAGGCCAGTGGCGAAGATAAAAATCTTTGTCATTATTGTCTTTGTTATTAAAAAAATAAGACAAGATAAACATTACACAAATTAATATTCAAATTAAATAAATAGTGCTTTATTTTTCAGATGCACTAGGTGTATTTAGCAGTAGCATTGAAGAAAGTAATTAAATTAAACAAATATGAAATTAAAACACTACAGAGACTTCACTGAATAAATTGATTCTTATTAAAGCTACTATTAAAGTTCTCAGTCAGTGAGTGATTTTCTCCTTGTGTTTTTTTTCTTTTACTAAAGAGATAGTTCCCTCAAAAATGAAAATGGTCTTAATTTACTCTCTCAAGATGTTTTAAACCCGAATAAGTTTCTTTCTTCTGTTGAAAATAAAAGTTATTTTGAATAATGTGGGTAACCGAACAGTTGCTGGTCCCCCTATAGTTTTTTATTGGTTCTCTCCTGGAAGTTAATGGGGACCAGCAACTGTTTGGTTACCCACATTAAAAAAAAATCGTTCTTTTGTGTTCAGCACAAGAAAGAAATTAATACAGGTTTGTAACAACATTAGAGTGAGTAAATAATGACAGATTATTATTATTATTTTTTTTTTTTTTGTGAACTATCCCTTTAAGGACGTGCGGCAGTACTATTTATTCCTGTTGCTTTTAGACCAGCACGCGACGCGTTTAATATAGACGCATATTACACCAGATATTCTCTCAAATGTTTGCTTTCACTTTAGACATAGCCTGTTTATGTAAACATTGTGTGTATTTAACAGTATTAGCATAATAAGACTCGAAAGATAACTTAGTCCAGTATTCAGGCGCTGTTTACAGGCTTCTAGTTCCTGTGATTGTCGTGGGTAATTTATGCGGTCAGGAAAGCGCACGTTAGAACAGCGCATTAGCGCGTGAATTAAATGTTTAACCGGCAAGGCTTATGCAAATAATGAACTTTTGTGAATTGCAGTGTCCCGTACCTGTTCATTAACGTGTGATCATGTGTAGGCTGCGTCGCGTTGTACAGTTGAGACGGAGGCGCCAGAACTGAACTGATAGAATGCACTGTAACACGATACTACGATATTTCTTCAAAAGCAGATCGTGGAGACATTTTAATCGTCCACGATTAAAAATCGTCATATCGCACACCCCTAGCGGGGCTAAACCGGCCGTGTTGAAGAGATTGAAGTTGGTCTTCTTCTGCGGGGGTGGTGTTTTATCGTTTTTGTCGCCATAGTTCCCCACTTCGAAAAGTGAGTCGTTTGCTGAGCCTGGTGTCAATAAAAGCTTTTAATGGATTAACAAGTACGTTTTCAGTTCGGAAACTCTTAGATGTCAAAAGCTCAAGGAAATTTAGATTTCTCAGTTCATCACCCCTTTAAAGAGAAACTGCCTCTCTTGCCTCCTTGGAGAAAATGCTCCTGTTGAATATTTTATGGTGGTTTAATTTAGATGGATCCATATTAAAGTCTGCTTATCTGCTTTTCTGATAGACACGAGGATATCTTGTCCATCCTGACAAAGGTAAACCGTGAAGTGAGCACCAAAGTTTTGCAAGGCCACAAGCAGATGCCTGAGCCTCGATATACCCTCACCAAGAAGCTGGTTTTCCCATGAACTGAAGCAACTGATTGACTTTGGTATTAGTGGATTTACGCTAGCCACGTTAACATTATTCCGTTACTCAGAGTCTATGTTTATCTTTCAGGGAGGATCGAGGCACTTTGGCACTATAGAGTCATATTGATCTTGCTATCTCTTTGAGTCTGGTCTCAAATTTTGAAATTCAGTTTACAGCACAGAGTTATGGAAATGTAGTTATATTTTTAAACAGTGCAATTCAAGAGTAATAAGAGTACATCAGATATGTAATGTGATTTCTATACCGGCTGTCTAAATGATTTAGTTTTGAATGCTGTTGTAAATGCAGATCTATTGATATTTCTTAAAGTTGTTTAAGACTTTAAAATTGTGAGAAATAACTGATGTATAGAAAATAATAAACTTAGACATTCTTAAAATTGTCATTTTTAAGAATTATTAAATTTTTTAATTAAATAAAATTGTATTACATTTTTTAATTATTTAATTTTCTCCTGCAATTTTAAGCTTGTCATTTCTTTTCCTTCGCTTTATGAAGGGAGCATTTCTTCACGAAACATTTCCTCAAGCATTTCATACATTTTTTTTATGAAATGCTTTAAGAAAAGGAACGGAAAAAAAACATTAACAACAATTATCGTCATTGTCATAATACAACAATACTCCAGAGTCCTTCAGTCTTTCAATCCATATTAAGTTCCAAATCCTTAAACACAGCCACTGTTCTTGTAGATTTTTAGTTTTTAGAGAACTCAATAAATTCAAAATACATTTTCTTTTCAAGTTTAAATCTTTAAAAAAAAATGCATTTAGAAAATGTATATGTGTGAATATAATAGTTAGCTATCGGAAAAATAAGGTTTTTAAGCTAAAATCACTTTTCTTTTTTAATTACATTTTTTAAATGTAACTCAGAGTTAGGATTCACATAACATTTGATAAAATCACAAATGTCACACCAAAACAACAGAGGGTATTAATATCATTATTTTCTAATTCTAATATCAGTCTTTTGAGAGAGCACTTATTTAGGTGAAACCTACGATTAAACTTAAAGGTTATTTCTCTAATTTTGTTAGTTATCAGGTATTTGTGAGGTAATGTCCAAATTTTTGTCATAATGTCACTTACAAAACCATTCCAGTAAGTAAGAACTAATTATAAGGCATAGGAACAGACTCCTCCTGAAACATTTTTATTTATTTATTATTATTTAGATGAAGAAAGACACTGTCAGTGTTTACCTGCAAGTGTCTTACACAGTTCCACTGAGTGACAGGGATGAAAAAGCAAATCCTTTAAAAAGCATGAGAACTCCTTGTGCCACTGCATCTGCCACAATTGTTCTTTTGGAGTAAAAGGAAATCCATGCTTTACTAAGAAACTCAGAATAATTACAAATTGACCCATTTTGATTGAATAGTTGATACAGAAATAATTCAATTTTTAAACCAACTATCAAAGACAAAAGATTTATGTCTAGGTCCTTGTTATTCCAAATTATATAAGATCGGGGTGTTTAAATATGAGGAACCAAGCAACTAACATTTGCCTTTGAAAAGGGATAATTTGACCGGGATTATCATTATAATACGAATTTTAAACCCACTAGTTTAGAAAAAAAATAATATTGAGGATCAGATTCCAGATAGATGTGGGCTTAGTAATAACAGTACAAGTTTAGACTCCCCTTCTCAGTGTTCATACGTACAGATTTTCTGACAAAAGGAGCTCCCAACAAAGTATTTTTTAAAGAATGGACACTGGAGGTGTCGACACTCAAAGAAAGCTTAAAGTTTGAAATATGGACATTTTACAGACAAGGCTTACTCCTAGACTAAAATGCAAATTTGAGCAGTTTTGTCTGAAAGCAACTTGCACTGACAAATCTTAAAATAAGTCACTGCCGTTCTTTTGTCTCAAGATGCACAACAGTAATGTCTTTTTCTAACGCACATTTATAAAAGCTAATTAAATGTCCTAATTAAACTAAGGCCTTCATCTAAACCCTGTCTGTGAAACTGGGTCTTTGTTTTGTAGAAACACAGGTCTATCATCCCACAACATCTTGATGTGGGATTTTCAAACAGGAGCCATGAGACCCCCCTGGTGGTGTTCGGAGTTCCATGAAAAACTTTAGAGAAAAATGTTGTAGAGAGTCTGCCAGAAGCTAGTTATTTTAATCGCTAAAGTTTAAAATATGGATATTTTCTTACACAAACAAAACGCTTCACTTCCGAAGGCCTTTATTGACCCCCGTGTGGAGCACTTTTTTTGTTCGATGCGATTCCTGAACTAATCTCGGACTAACAGAATCATGGGGATTGGTCAATTAAGCATTTTTTTTTTCTAAACACTTGAAATTAACAAAATCAAATAAAACAAAATATATAATACAAAATATTTTAATTAACATTCAAATGACAGATAGAACTAGTTAGATTAGAACATAGTCTTGGGGTCAGAACACAGGACCCTTAGACTAGAGCCATCTATTGTCTGGGGGTCAAAGCAAAGGAACAACCTGGGACTCAGAATACAGGACTGGATCCACCTGGACCAGAACATCACAGCCTGTCATACTCTACAACAACTAGGCATACATTCCAGTCCTGGAGGTTACAGGGAAACATGAAGAGTTGCTCTCTCTGTTACCCCTTTTCCACCAAAAAAAGAACTGGTTCGGAACTGGTGCTGGTTCAAAGTTGATTCAGATTTGGTTCAACTTGCGAACCTTTTCAGAACGTTTTTCCACTGAGTAGAGCACCCAGGGAACGACGTCATTACGTCAGTGTGTACGTCGCCATACGTCTTAGCTAGAAACGCTTGCAAATACAACATTACTTTGGCATTATCTCTAACTCGTGAACCAAGAAGGCTTTAAAAACAATTGAAATATCTAAGTCTTTTCGTTTGATATGTAATCTTTTCTGATTAGTTATGTACCCCTGTCTTGTGTATTTTTTCTTTCCATTAATTTGTTCTATATTGTGACTGTTTTCTTCTTTGCTTATGTTTTCAATAAAAAAATTTAAAAATAGAAACGCTTGCGCCAACTTTAAGCATAACAAATACAAACGCGGAGTCCAACGTGTTTCTGCAAATGTTTCTCCTGGCTTTGCCATAATATCCAATATTATGGTCAGAAAAGATGTTTAGAACACATCTAAACCCGCCCCAGCCCCCGATGTAAGCATGATGTGGTAAAAGAACGGTTCTAGTCCAGCAAAGAGTTGGTGCCACTTTGGAACCAGTTTTCCCGGCTGAGAACCGGTTCTTTGGTTGTCGAAACACAAAGAACTGGTTTGCGCGCAGGCACCGGCTCTCAAAATGCTTTGGTGGAAAAGGGGCTGATGTAGTTCCTCCCAAGGGTCTATCCACCAGCCAGAAACTCAAGTCTCCCGGGGATCGCCATTGGCTAACAAGCCATTACCTGCTGTTAGCATTCCATAGACTCCCATTCATTTTGGCATCAGCAGTTCTAACTCAGCAGCTTGTGTCAAAATGATTTATTGCTTTTTGATGGACAGGGGGCGGAGCTGACCTTTGCCGTTCCGGATTCCATCTTTGAAATAGTCATAAACCTTTGACCTTTTGCATTCCATCTCTGGAATATCGATTAACCTTTGACCTATCGATCAATCAAATGGACAGGTGGTTTTTGACCCGTTGACCTTTTGCATTCCATCTCTGGAATATCGATTAACCTATGACCTTTTCTAATCGAGAACATGTGTGTGAACATTCTGGTTTTGACCCGTTGACCTTTTCTAATCGAGAACATGTGTGGCTACATTCTGGTTTTGACCCAGCTGATCCCAGGAAGCGATCAATCAATTGAACATTCTGGTTGTTGACCGGTTGACCTTTCTAATCCAAAAAACATGTGTTGGTACATGGTGGTTATCCGGGAAGCGATCAATCAATTGGAAAGTTTGACCCTAGTGACCCCAATTAAATCTTTATAGTTTTAATACATTCATATCTTCTATTTCTTTTAAAGATTACTCTTAATGATTTTGTTTAATGCCGACCTAAAGTAGAATTTTTATTAATATAGCCATAACAATTTTTGCAAAAGGAGGTCAGTAAGAGGCTGCTGTGAGACTGCTGCACGATACTGCAATCCTCGTTGCCATGATTAAGCTTAAAAATTGAATCTAAAAGGAAACGTGACCGGCAAATTCAAAACGAGGGTAAATGTTGGGACAGCTTTTCCCAGGTGGATAGAGCTAATGAAGGAGAAAGACTTTGAAAGGAACGCAGAAGTCCTACTTTCTTATCGAAAGGTAAGTCAATGATCTAAATTACAAGCTTTTTCATTCCGTGGTTGTGTAATTCATTATATAGGCGGCGTAACGGTAGAATGTGTATAGTTAAACTTGAAAAAGTGCTATTGGACGACATGTCCTAGCTTCTTGGCACATACCGGTCACCGTAATCACAACACACATTTAAAAATGCGCGGCGCTAGAGAGTACTATAGGTTTGAATGCCAAATACAATTTCACTATTTTGCTAACATTTGAAAATTCTACATATATTTTGAGTAGATAACCGATAGTATATTCTCAGTGAAGGGTTTCACCTGTGTCTTTCCACAATGAATAAGGATAGTTTGGGAGATACAAGAAAAGTAAAAATGATATAACTTATACGTACAAATGGTCATATAGCTACGTAGAAAAGTATAAGATCATGCTTTGAATTAAGATGAGTAAAATTAAATATTCGGTCAAGACCAAGTGCAACGTAGAGTCGCGTGATTTCTTTTAAAAGAACAAAAACAAACTTTAACAACTTGTTTCATGTGACATGGACAAAATAATGTTTGAATTATTTTGTATAAATAAGATCTAAGATGCCAAATCACAGTTTTTGCTTTTAATTTTTCTTACATTTTAGTATAAATAATACCTTTGGTTAAATTCATGCAAACCCATTTATATCATACAGAAGTCTTGTAAGATAAACAGATGATAGGACTTTAATAAAAAGTTTAAACAGTCTTTTAATTTTAAAAGATCTAATTGAAACTTTTAAGATTATGCTTTTAAATGAATTTAGAATAAAACTCTGAAAAGTAGACTAGCATTGCATGCGCTGTGACATAATTGTGGCCCAGTGGCTCATCTGGCCTGTAACTCCTCCGTTTCTGTGAGGGTGTGAAGCTTCATCTCACCCTATCACTGACGGATATGGGATGGAGGCATAAAGTCAAGGGAGAGGCCCATAAAGAATCATAAAGTTAATTCCGTCGCTAGCTCAAGGACAGCAAAATTCGGAAGGGAATGATTCAGATTCCTCTTGGCGCAGCTACTAGAAGACTTACAACTGTCAGACAGGTTGCTCACGTCACATCTATGAGGTCAAACTCAGTTTGAGCCTGCGCAGTGTGCGCTCAGCCGTCAGGAAGTGAGTGCTTCTAATTCACTTCACTTTTCTCCTATGAAGTCTATGGGGTCGCTGTGTCCATTTATTTTACTGTCTATGGTTCCTTCAGGCCTTTCAGGTTGAGGCAGCTTCTTCACCCCATCACTTTTAGGAACATGTCCATCGCTACATCAAGATTATCAAAGAACTCCCCGACTGTTGTTTTATTACTGTATTACTTGTTTTAATAATATTATTACTGTTATGAGTTCATACAGAGAGATGGTGACGTGCTAGGAAGCCACAGGCTGTCTTCCCTGCTGTATTGCCTTGGCATGATGGCTTTTCTACAATGTTTATGACATTAAAAATATGTAATATTACATTAAAATATGTTTAAGACTAAACTTAACTTGTGCCTCGTGTCTCACTTTACCCCACAGCCATATTTTAGAAAAAACAATCTCTCTTAGCAATTCAGGATAATCTTCAGCTTGCACCATCACATGGTTTTATATGTTGGTAGTTCATCAATGATATAATTTTTTCTACCTGAATCAATTTGCTTTGGCACAACAGCTGATTAAGCTGACAGCAAGAAAATGAATTTTTTTTGATTGTTGTGTGTGTGTGTGTGTGTGTGTGTGTGTGTGTGCTTACACACACGTGGTAACATGCTTACCACAGCACTTCTCTCCCAGAGCCTCTGTTCTCTCCTTCATGGCCAAGGTCCTCACTGCAGAACACGAAATCCAGAGGAATCCAACTCCTCCCTAACCATCTCTGCCCTCTGACCCCTAACCCCGCCCCTAATTATACCCATCTCCACCCCTAGATCTGGATCCAACTCCGCCCCCCTGGATCTCGTGTACTGCAATACGCCTTATTCACGGCAGGGCCATCTTTGATTTTTAATGAGAATGAAAGCGAGGCTGTGAGGGATAGTCATGCATCTCTTCAATGGGCTGTTATTTAATGTGTTTTCGGATTTTTCTGCTCATGAAACATTAAAAAAATATCTTTCCAAGAAATTTCAGTTGACAAAAAACTCCCGAAAGTGTAAGCTGTGGAAAATTGAAAGTAATCTAGGAGCTTTATTCAGCTTTTTACAGCGGATGCCATTGGAAACACGGTAAGTCTATCCCTCACAGCCTCACTTTCATACCTGTCATGGCGCTGCTCTGAATAAGGTCTATGACTCAGGTACTACCATAGACAGTAAAGGGGGTGCTTCTGGATATTTGAGGGGCTTGAAAACATATTGGTCACATGACCACAAATGTGTTCCGTTGCCTAGATACATACAGGGGGTGTCTCACACTCCGTAACCCGTTCTCGCACATGTCAGCTTCTAGAACTCTTGAACTCTTGACTTTTTTTCCCAGCCAACTCAAATCTTCAGTTCCACGAATGCTCATAAATCTGCTTTTAAAACAGTGAAATCCCTTTTCATGAAGTCGCTATGTAATTGCAAAATGTATTTAAAAAAAACACCAATTCATTTTTGGGCTAGTAGACTATGGGCAAAGGTTGAATTTTATTCTTGTGCAAACAGACTGTATTAGTAATAGTAACTACATAAAGCAGAGATAAAGTAACTGAAACGTCTCTGTATTTGACAAATATTGCATTTATTTCACTTCTGCTGTGGTAAGTCTACAAACACAGCACGAGCGTCGATTACTAATACTACGGCCCGGGAATCAGAAAGTGTCCGTTTGCAGCTCCTCCCGTCTGCATGCGGTAACTCTCGTAATATGAGATATTCTTTGAGGCGGGCATTTAACTTTCTTCCGGATAGAGCGGAGAGATTCTGTCCATCTTTCTCTTTCTCCGCACTCAATGTCCACAGAACACCAGCAAAATCTAAATCTATCCGACTGATCTGCATTGTTTCATAAGCCAATCTTGCACTTTTCCTCGAGTTAATGGTAAGTGTTTGTTTACTCATTCATATGTTTACGTTTATATTGTTGTATCTGCACAAAAGCGCGCGAAAACTTCCTGCACACTGACTCCACACACTCACTGGCGGTGCGCGGTGTTTTTAATATGTTGAATGTTTTGGTTTAAAACCGTGTATTGGACAATATATTACATTATTTGTTGATATACAAACATCTAATGATTCTGTTGGCATACGGTTTTTCTATTAATTACTCTCAGATGAATGAAACTGGCCATGTCAGCAACAATGATCAGAAAAGTCAGGCTACCAAGAATGAGCAAAATAAGGGCAAAGCATCAGATAAATCACGAAGAAAGAAGGCTGTAAAGAGGAAATCACAAGTAAGATTTCCTTTTAATGAATGTAATTTTAAATGTCCTGTTATTTTATATTATATTATTTTATATTATTTGAGAAAATTATATTTCTGAACCATTGTGATAATATTATGTTATTAGTAGTATTTCTCTATTTATTTATTTTAACATAGGGAGCCAAAGAAAACCAATCTGTTCAAAAGAATATTTCACCTAAAAATAAAAGAAAGCGGGAGCCCCTTCAAGCCACCGGCAATATTTCTGACCATTACCCTAAAAAGAAGCATGCAGGTAAGTCATTTACAATCTGTTATGTTAGTAAACTATATGCCAAGCCTAACCTTCTCCTAAACTGTCTTTATTTTCACAGTGACAAAGCACAATGAATTTTATTCCATGTCAAACAGACCTTGTGGATATTGTTTGATCATCAACAACTATAACTTTGAGGGTTCATCACTTAAAAACCGGGAAGGGACAGACAAAGATAAAGGTATTTTGGGGAGTTTGATCCCTACTTTAAATGTAGTTTACTAATGAATATGTCAAATTTGGCTTTATGATGAAGACCTAACAATACATTTGACTTTTTCTCCTAGATGATCTTACCAGAGTGTTTGAGAACATGTTTTTCAAAGTAGATGTGCGGGCCGATTTGCAAGCCTCAGATATGCAAAATGTGATAAAGGAGTTTGCCGAGAGGGATCACTCTCACATGGATGCCTTTGTCTGTTGCATCCTCTCCCATGGAGAGAAAGGCTCTGTTCTGGGAATAGATGGAAAACAAGTTCCGATTCATGAACTCACACAGCCTTTTGCAGATTGTCGCACCCTAGTCAGCAAGCCCAAGCTTTTCTTCATTCAGGCCTGTCAGGGTAATGAGGCCCAGCAAGGTGTGTGGATGCCAGATGGACCGGAGAGCACCACAGAAGATGAAACTTCTACGTTGCACAGTGTTCCTTTAAAAGCTGATTTCCTAATCGGAATGGCCACAGTAGAACAATACCAGTCGTTTCGCAACACTAAAGACGGGTCTATCTATATCCAGGAGCTCTGCAAGCAGCTTGAAACTGGCTGTCCATGGTGAGTTGTCTTTATTTTGATCATTTTGGGTGAGTTTTATTATCTTGGAAACACATTGTGGTCTGGTCATTCAAAGCACCATCAAAAGATGCGTGCATACGGCTATTTTGCATTTGTAAACACTAATATGTATGTGTCCACAACCTACTCATGTAACTTGTTTGTTATCTCTTTCTTTTTTTGACAGCAAAGAGGATATGCTCTCAATTTTGACAAGGGTGAATCTAGAAGTGAGCTCCAAAAACTATCAGCATTTCAAGCAGATGCCTGAGGTTCGCTACACTCTAACCAAAAAACTGGTCCTTCCCATGAAGCAAACTCCTTTTAACAGCTAAATGTAATATTTGTATAATTTATGATATGTTAATAAAGCCCTCCTGTTCCTTATTATGCTGGATCCATAGAAGATCAAGTCATAATGGTTGATAACCATTAGTTAATAATTTACATAATTTACAACTCCACTGCTGTATTTAAATAATGCTGGCCATATAACGATTTCTGTATTTTTCAACCTGGGACCCACGTGAACTGCATTGATATCGACATTGCCGCAAACGGTTAATAAACAAACAGCAAATGATGCGTTTACTAATGGCTTGCTTTCTATGGCTCCATCTTTCAGAAATGAAGACAGCCATAAATATATTAGTATTGTAATTGTACTGTTCTGTATAATAAAAGTCTTTTTTAATTAATTGATACAACTACTTCGTATTTTACAGTACAGTATTATTGGAATAGGAATATATTTCTTTTTAATTTTTATATTAAATAAAATTAAATTAGGGTTAGGTTTTCATTCTTTTTTGTCTTTACCGGATCACATGCCTGAATACATTTTGTAAAGGTTTTTTATATTTGATTGAACATTAATAAGTGATTACTCATCTAAAGGAATTGATGTCTTTAGAACAGTGAATGGATGTTTAGTAGTTTCAGTTAAATGTATTGTAAGTTAAAACAACTGCTATACATAGCAGTATAATCAAACTCAATTTATGCTGACATATTTTATCCCCTAAAGTGATATTAAATACTCTGTATAGTCACTATGGCACTGGACACAAACTGCCGTTTTAGCTATTATTGTGTATTTACAGTATAATTACCATGGCCGTTCTTGTCCCTGCCTGTGGAAATGTGTTTTCTGATGCCTACATTTGACATACAGTATACTTTTCTGTTGGTCTTACCCAATGGCATGTTTCTGTGTTGATGAATTTTATTTTAACTTGATAATGTCATGTGCATTTCATTGAATATTTAATCAGGCTTTTATGTATTTAAAAATTTTAAAGACTTTTCAGATGCAGTTTGCATGCACGGTTTGGATAATAATATGCACATATCTGGAAAAACCCTGTGTTTTAACCACAAGTTTGTCATTAAAAACTGAAAAACAAATTGGTTTCAAATTATTCTTTCTCTTCACTTTTACAGATGTGGCAAATATGCGGTGTTACAAATAAAATGTCATTCCTGTGGGTGGTAAACATTAGCAAATAACTGTCTCTGTGAAAAATTAGGGCCGTCAGAAAACTACTGCATATTTATAATCTTATATGTTTCTGACAGAACTGGTCAGAAAAACCCATATTGATGACCAATGATTTGAATATTTGGGGGGGGGGATGCGTCCCTTCGTCAATTCTGTCATTCTGGTGAGTCTTCAAGTAACTGGTATCTTTGTATATGGGTCAGTAGTTATAGGATACAGCTTGTGTCAAGATGATTTATTAACCTATGATTGACAGGTGGGCGGAGCTGACCTTTGACCTTCCGGATTCCATCTTTGAAGTAGGCATTAACCTTTGACCTTCTGGATTCCATCTCTGAAATATCGATTAACCTTTGACCTATCGATCAATCAAATGGACACATTGTTTTTGACTTGTTGACCTTTCTATTACAGAACATGTGTTCATCTGTCTTTGATCCATGGTGGTAATAATCATTCATTTGGACACTTTGTGTTAGACCAGGTTATCCCAGGGGAAAAAATATTCATTTTTGACATTCTGTTTCTGACCTGGTGATCCAGGCACCGATCATTTACTTTGACATTTTGGTTTTGACCTGGTGATCCAGGCACCAATCATTCACTTTGACATTTTGGTTCTGACCTGGTGATCCAGGCACCGATCATTCACTTTGACACTTTGTTTCTGGCCTATTGACCCCTTTGGGGAAATAACTCCCCTGTGACTCTCTCTCTCACCATGCCTGCTGTTGCATTGCCAGAATAATTTTCTAATAATATCCCCATATCACATATAAATATGGTCTGTAAAATAAAAGCAGCTTACTTGAGTGGTGATGATCTCCCCTGTGATTCTCTCTCTCTCTCTCTCTCTCTCTCTCTCTCTCTCTCTCTCTCTCTCTCTCTCTATCTCTATCCGGTCTTTGAGAGTGACCTCTGTGAGAGCGTCTCTCTATGCGTCTGTGTGAGGGTATGAGACGGTTGCATGTTCCTTCACCCAGAGAAAATCTCACACGAGCTAAAAAATGAAACCGTGTTTTATAGATTATAAGGAAACATTTAGATTTAAATATGATGTGAAAAAATAAAAAGCATCTTACTTTATCAGTCATTTCCATAAAGATGTTGAAAAGCTCTCTCGCTCTCTCTCTCTCTCTAAATTGACCTTTTTGACAGTAGCATGTCTGTTTGTGCAAGTGAGACACGACACGCTCCTGCAGCCCCGTGCTGAAACAGTTAGAAAAAGTTCAATCTTTTTCACACTATGTAAAGTTGAAATCATGGACCATTTAAAAGTATACCAATATGCTTTATCATTCATTTTAAATAATACAAAATGTTTTATAGATTCTTAAAAAAACATACAGGTTGCTAATCAGTGTCAAAAATAAAAGTATCTTACTTTTCCAGTAGGAAAAAGTAGGCTACTTCTCCAGATTTACATCTCGCTCGCAGATTAGGGGTCGTTTTGCTTCTATGTGTGTGCGAGTGTCAAGAGTTCACACCAGCACAGTAATAAATTAGTTCAGCCTCTGGAAACAATACAGTTGAATCCAATCTAAAAGCCATCTGTTTACCGAAATACCAAAAAATAACTGTTGTGATCACTGATGTGTTTTAATTAAAACCATCATGCTCAAATGCGCTATCATCATCACAGCATCAATCTATGAATGAAAAAAGAGGGCTGCTGCTTTTTCACGAGCTAGGCTGGCATACCACACTGCTGTGAACTTACATTTCATTCCTGATGCAATGGCGACATCTAGCGGACACAGAGTTATTTTTTGGTATTTCGGTAAACCGATGGCTTTTAGATTGGATTCAACTATGTTGTTTCCAGAGGCTGCTGAACTAATTTATTACAGTGCTGGTTGTACTGAATGTCAGCTTGCTTATTTTGCTCAAGATAAGGATTTATTACCTCCAAATGTCATATAGAAACGATACCTCCAACCGCAGGTCGAGAGCTGTCATTCAAACCAAACAACTTTGCGATGCTGTTAGCGAATGTTCGTTGGAACGATGGTTTCGGGAAACCCCGACTCGTTGAACTATGCTGATAACGACGGAACTTGCGACCATAGTTGGCTAACGATGCTTTCGGGAAACGCACCCCTGGTCCGGCGGGGATGGCTAACTGTCAGGCTAAGTCTGAGTTCAGGCTTAAAGGACAACTCCGGCGCAAAATGAACCTTTGGTCTAATTACACATTAGTCAACCGTTATCTGAGATTTGTTTTCATGATTGCCAAATGTAAATAGTTTTATCTGTAAAAACAGTTTAGCCTATAACGCTAGTATAACGCTAGTAAATAGGGCATAGAGTAATGACAAATAAAAATCGCTTTATTACCACTAACTAGGCTCAAAATAGCCCCACACTAACACGGCAGCATAATAAGGGTCCCTACATTCAAACCGAAGCATTGAGAACTTTGTCAGTGTCCATACAGTTTAACAAACAATTGCAAAAAAACATGTAATACATTTTTTGTTTGTCTTGATGTAAGTAATCAACTCAGTGATTTTCATGATAAAATCTAAAGATTAAAATTTTTTACCCTTTTCGCATGAGAAAAAGAATGAATAGGCGAATTAATAGGATATATTTGGGTCTTTTTCTAAACTTTCCCCTAATGGGATTCTTCAGGGCTTTTTTTCCTTACTCAGGACATATTAAGGACACAAAATCAGCTGAGTTTGCTTCTGTTGCAATTTGTTCAAGGCTGACCCCCATTTTGACTTAAAATGACTGGACTAATACCACTTTATAAAATACTGATTGTTTCAAAGCAACTTACAGTGATTTAATTATGGATATATCTCGATCTGATTTTTGACTTGGAAGATCTTTTTTGGAGATATCTGCATTTAACTTTGTACCTAGGAAAAATGTCAATGACGATACTTCATTATACAACTACTGTGTGTATTAGCAATTAATCATTTGATACAATGCAATTATTGTGTACATTAATTTTACATTGTTTATACTTAAAAAAATCAGAATGTAATTAAAGCTATAATTAACTTCTGTAATTACATTTATTATTACAATATTGACTCTTCCTAACATTGTACCTAATGATTTTTTTGATGTAGTTATTAAAAGACACCTAATATAAACCCCCTACATTTGACACATACCACTCCTGTCATCCTAACTGATGCAATGTTTCTGACTTAATGTGTATTGCAGGTATACATTAAATTGCATTCCAATTTTGCATGCAGTAATACACCATTTAAAAATATTTATTATAAAATAATTAAATGAGTGTATTTATACAGTATAGGGTACAGAAAGTAGTGTATATAGAAAAGTAGAAACATTTTGTATAAACAAATGTGTTAACCACTGTTTATATATATATATATATATATACAAACTTATTACACCTGGAAAAACAAATTGATCTCAAATGGCTTTTGATTTCCTTTAAGTAAACAGTTTTGGCCCTTATTTTTTTTTGAAAAGTCCTTTAAGAACAAGGAAGAGTAAAGTAAACATATCTCTTTTTACAGCCCTTTTTGAGATTGAAATTATCCTATATTATGAAATGTATATAAAAAAGACATATCGAGCCATTTTAGCATGACATATGTAGGAGCTTTCAGTGGTTCACTGGCTGCAGGATCAGTTTCTTCCTCATGGCAACTTCATGGACAGGCATTTGTGCGCATTTGATCCCCTTACTGCTAACGTCATTATTCACACAAATCAGGATCGTTGGGATGTCTGTACCCCTGGGGACAAAAAAAAAAAAAAAATCAATAAATACTTTTTTTTTTTTTAAATAGTAGCCTACCGGTATATATATTTCAAATTTTGTGAATGTTATTGATTTCAGTACAGTGTACACATTATTTTCCTTTATAATTTTCTCTACTTCGTATACTCAAATGTTCATTATGAACATAAAACTGCTGCATGAAATCTTTGTTACAAACTTACAGTGGACAATGTTTCTCTAGGTTTTGGCAGAGTGACTGAATAAACCAGGAGCCCTCTTCTGGCTTTCTATAAGAATAGTGACCGTCAGTGGTTGACCGGGCAATGAGGAAATCCGTGTCAGCTGGGATTGTGACATCAAAATCATCACCACCATCCACCTCCATCTCTGACTCTCCATCTTCTGGAGCATCCGCTTGGACTTTCACACGATGTTGATTTTTACTCCCTCGACATGCCTGTATAAAAAACAGTTTGGGCTTGCCGGCTAGTCTTTGGCCAGTGAAAGGCTCCCGTATTTCATCAACAGAAACAACATCACCATCGGTTCCACAGACTCCTTCTTTGTTGCCGTGGGAGAGGACACAGCATACAAAGCAGTCTCCATCTACCGTTTTCCCCAGGTCTGTGAGGAGATTCTTCATTTCATCTGCAGTTTTATTTTTGTGCACCTCCACCTTAAACCCCAGCCAGCGGAAAACTTTGTCAAGGTAATCTGGGGTTGAAAAGAGAAAATAATCAACTCAATATATTCATTGATATAAAAAATGATAAATAAATAATATTTATAAAAATGGTCAAATAAATATTATAATTTAATAAAAAAAAATGAAAAAGTATATAAATATTTAGAATTATTAAAACAAATCAAACTATTTTCTTTTCTGAATTATTTTCTTATATTTTCCTTTACACAATAAGAGTAGATAATCCTGGCATGGTCTTTTCCTGGCATTGACAATTTAAAGCTGTTATTGATATTTGCGGCATCAATACTTTAAAAAAACGTTTTACTGCACACCTTTAAGCCAATCAGAATCAAGTATTTAGACAGACCACCATGGTGTAACTTAAAATAGTGGTTACACTTTATTTTTAAGATGTCCTTGTTGTTACAGTGTAATATACATTTAAGTACCAAGTAATATTAACTAACAACAGATAAAGGTTGGTTTACGATAGGTGTAGGTTTACGATAAAGGTTGTGTATATGGTTAGTTGCATGTAATCATGCATAACGTATAGTTAGTACTATAGTGACTACATGTAACGTGTAACAAGGACACCGTAAATTAAATGTTACCAAAATATCTAATGCTAAATATCTAAATCCAATGCAAAAATATTTAAAAAACAAACTTTGGTCCTTATCTGATCCGCTTCTTTCCTTCATGGTCGTAAAATGTACATTATTGAAGATTACGCAGATACCACGTGGAATTTGTGATATTTTGTATTGAGAGACCTGAAATAAAAGCACATATACGCACACATCAGTGGCAGAGAACATACTTGAGTGCATCATCTACATTAATTTTAATATATATGAGAATCACCTGTATTTACATCACCTGTACTGGGGCATCAAAAATGGCATGATCCTTTAATGTTGGACACATTTCCAAAATACTATCATTTCTTAAAAGGTCTATGAAATTGCGACAAGTTTCCTCCCCCTTTCCGATGAGTTTGTCAAGTAGGTTGATGATTCTCTTCTGTCTTTCAGAAATATCTGTGAGGTTCATATATTCACGTTGAGTAATAAGTTTAGCCTGTTGCACATTCTGCAAGATGAATTCGGCATCTACAGACAAAGTCTCTATGAGGAAGACTTTATCTTTGACAATTCTCTGAAGATATTTTTTGTCCATTTTACAAAATCAACACTGATGAACTGGAGAGAAGAAGAACATAAATAGATGTTAGTTTATGAACTTGAGTAAGCCAACAGTAAATTGTTCATATTCACTTCAAAGCAAAGAAATGCTAAACAAAAATACAAAGAGTTAATAACCTAATAATGGCCAATAGCTCTGAAAAGGACAAAGTGAAATAAAACCTCTTTTCATACATTATTAACTATAAGTAACACAAACCAGGCAAGAGGCAGCTTGTGCATGCGAGTTTAAAAAGGACTTGTTCACAAGGAAACATATTCATAGCGTACGGGTGAGCAAAAAGTTCACTATTATATATTTTAAATAGATTCATCTATAGTACGATGTAAATATGTTAAATACAATACTTATTTGACAATTGCTATAATAGCGTGTTTATAACATTAATATTAAACCGTTCGGTTCAAGATTATCTGACGAGACGAATAAAATAAATGTGCTTAGTAAGTTATGCTTTGCTTTCATTTTCCCTTTATTACAACAGGGTAGCAGCTAACTTAGGCTAATACTGTAGCTTCAGCTATTCATTTGCACTACTTTGTTACATCACATTTATACAAAATGTACAAATCCAAACATCGATCTAACGTTATCTAATTTGCAATAATATATATTAGCAAAGACGTTTGGAGGTAACTTATTTGTAATTTATAAAACACCGACCTTCTTGTCAGATAATAGTTTCCCTCACAGAACTCATCACGAAGGCGCGCAAATAATGTGAATGAGGGTGTGGTTGCCAGATATTCTGGGTTGCCTAGTCTTCTGTTGGGTCGACCTATGCGAATAATCCATAAAAATGTACCACCCTTTAACTAACCTTTGACTAAATATTGATAGTGAGCCTCAGGAAGTCAAGCCACATTATGTATGAGTAGTTTTATTTTGTATTCAGTTTTGCGGGGCACAGGTTACTTTTTTTGTGCTGAATCCTTGTTAGCCTGCTACTTTCCATGCTAGGTTAATCTATTCACTTCTAAAAATTCTCTCAAAGAAGATAATGTAGTTGAAAATAAAAAGGAATATGGTGTAGATGATCACTGATATTTATTTATTATTTATTTATTTATTTATTTTTTTGTCTCCACAACCAGGGTTTTATACAGTGATCTGTTATGGATGTAGATAGCATTGGTAAGTTTGTTCCCTGTTACTTCCCTGTTTCATTCAGGATGAAAATGGCAGAAAATGTCTGTGTAAGGTGTGTTAAGAATAATAAATAATGCTGAATACGACCTGTAAATAATAATGTATTTATTTGTTAATTATTATAGGATATATATATATATATATATATATATACTGTATATATTGTGCGTGTTTAGAATGGAATCTCTTTCTCTGTGGGCCAATGCAATAATATATTGAACATTAAGTACATTTATTGATCAAAATTCCATCAATTTGTTATTTAACAAATAAAAAAAGTTTTAAAACTTTTATTTTATTTTTTACTGATTAATGTATCTCTCCCACAAAAGGTCTGAATGAGGTTCGTCCTGCAGTGTATCGAGCTGCTCTAAAGCTTCGCTCATTACAAAAACTATGTCAGAGTAAGTTTTTCTGTGTTTAATTTTCTATGTGAATGCAGTAGGATGCTTTTATATAATAATATATAATCTCACACACTTACTATCTCACTTCTTTTTTTCAAACTGCAGTGCACCTGGTGTCACTGGAGGATTTGCGCCCAGTTTTAAATACTTTATGTTCTGGGCAATCAATGATAAGTCTTGCTCAAGAAGATGTAGAGCAGCTTCTAGAAGAGTTATTCCAGAGCATTTCACATGAACTTCCTGGTCAGGCAGTACCTGAAGCCACAGATCAAACCACGAGGCTTCTCTTTAAACTGTTTGACAGGTGAGGAGTGACTATGATTCAACATTATATAGGTCTATTTCTGTATTTATGCATGTGTGATTTAACTTTGCTTTCTTTTAGAGAGCAAACCGGGGTTATTCTGCTCAGGTCTGTGGAGGCCGCGCTGATCACCCTCTGTGGAGACACTCTCTCAGCTAAACAGAAGGGTCTGTTCACTTGATTTTTATCACTTATTCTGATTCTGTCTATAGCTTTCAGAATGTATTATTGTGTCTCTGCAGCTCTGTTCCGACTGGCTGAGAGCTACAGTGGGAATAAGGAGAGCAACAGGGGCTCCATCAGTCAAAGTGCACTCAGAGTCCTGCTGGAAGACCTCAGCCAGGTGAGAAAAGCAATAGCTTGATCCAATTAATAAGAGCCACTTCTAACAAATACAGCACATTTCTAAATTAAAACATCTGGTTAAGGTTCCTGCAGTGGTTCAAGAAAACCATGTGTTTGGCCTTGCTGAAACTGCAGTGTCCTCCTGCTTCAAAGGGGTATTGTACATTCTCCTAACATATTACACACACACACACACACATATACTGTATGTAAGCAATAAGGTACGAGAGGCTGTGCTGTATCGTGAATAAGTAACGGCTGAAGGGCGTTGTTGGGCATGACACGAAGTGGAGTCGTTACTTATTCACGATACAGCACTTGCCTCAAGTACCTTATTGCTTTTAAAAAAAACGGTTACCACACAATAAAAATATTAAAGTAAAAAAAAAATGCATTACTGCAACTTTCATGAAGTAAAACCACCAAAAGTCTTCCTTTGTTGAAAAAAAAACAATTATTTCATAATGGGATTTCCCCCGCACTTTCAATGATTTTACTTCAATGAAAGTATTTTTTTTTTTGCAATTTTTTGACTGAAAGATCAAAAAATAATTTTTTACAGCCATTTTTTTAAATCATATTTACCAGGAGTGCCATTAATTATGACCACAACTGTATATATGTATACGCACAACTGTATATACACGTATATCAAACCAAAAATTATTAGGACACCAGATACACTTTGACCTGTACCTGTTTTTCTTAAGTTTTTTTTTTTTTTACTTTAATTTCTAATGCGACCTTTTTACATCCCTGACTGAAACTTTTTTAGCATTGTTTGGTAATTGGTTGACCTAAATTGGTATTATCTAATTGTGTACTTAAATTCAACAGCTGACAGCTATTCAACCTAATTCATTTGTGAGACAGACTAACAGAATTAGGGCCAAAACCAGTGAAATATGAGTTCTTGTAATATTTTATTACCAATTCCTATAAACTGAGATAATGTGAGAAATTTTGAAGGTGTCTGAATCAATCTTGGTTTGACTATACACAGAATATATACATGCAAATATAATGCCTTTATTTTAGAAAGGTGGTCCCTCACAAGAGGACCATATTTTTGCTAAGCTGTGGCATCAAAAAGTTTGAAAATCCCTGTTGAGCAGATTTCTTTCATTCAAAGCAATTTACAATACATGTTCCCTTTTATGTATTTGAAGGTACAGCCCTTAGTAGTTTTAGATTGTTGTAGATTTTCAGAAAATCAGGGTTTTTTCTCTCTCTCTCTCTCTCTCAGGTAATCCGAGCAGAAGTCACTGAAGAGCATTTTATTGGCTGGCTACAGTCAGAACCCCGTCTGCTGTTATGGCTGTCCACTCTTTACAGGATTTCAGTGAGTGAGGCTGTACAACACAGAGTCCACTGCCATGTCTGTAAAGCCTTTCCGATCACTGGCCTCAGGTGGGTTTTATAATATTAGTGCTATACATCCTTGCAAAGTTTGAAACTGGTTTACTGGCCCACAGCTCTGGTTGCAATGTTTATGTTTCAGGGTTATTATCCTTTACTAAAACAAAAATTGAAACAAATTAAATGAAACCTAAATAGCAATACTAAAAAAAGACAAAAATACATAGCAAAATGACCAAAAATGTAACTCAAATTAAAACTGATACTACCACTAAAATAACACTGGAATGATTGTATTAGGGCTGACATGCGTGCTGTCTGGTAGATGAAATGGATAGTGACCTGGCATGACCGTCTCTTCTCATAGGTATCGCTGTCTGAAATGCCTGAATGTACACCTCTGCCAAAGCTGCTTTCTGACTGAGAGACGCACCCGGAAACACAAGCCATCCCATCCTGTACTGGAATATTGCACTCAGGTGTATTACCATGCATAATGTTTTACATACTGTGGATGTATTAAGTAGGGATGTCAAGTTTTATGCCTTAAAGCTGCAGTCCGGAGCTTTTTTTGGGTTAAAGATAATCCAAAATACATATTTGAGCAAATACATAACCAGCCAGCATTCAAAACTCTCTGCTTGCCTTAGCTCGATTCAAAGCAGTAAGCTTGTTATAATTGTTATAAAACTTCAGTGGTACTGATGGATTTCCGCGGCAGATTCGAGCATGTCTTTGCGTCATTACGTCACATCTGTACACATAAAGAAGGAGTCTCGGCTAGTAGGCTATATTGCGTGTGAGGATGTTGGAGGTGGAGATTTATAGCCTTTTCTCACAGCACTTGATATAAGTAAACTTATCAATGGATGGCGGATCCAGAAAGGTTCAAATGATAATCACCAGTGACAACATAGTCACATATTCTGTAAAATGTAAAAGACTACGTTCGGACTTCGGAGTGTCTAACTTACGGAAAAAAGAGACTGCAACCATGTGTTAGCTCTCTAAAATGACTAAAAATGACTAACAAGTTCAAGGATACATATCGGAAGGACACATGTAGTCACGCAAAACTGACGTTGTTAACATTAACAATTTGAGAACAAAGTATAATTTGCACGGTTTTGCGTGATATGATAAGCACTTTTTAGATTTAATCAGCACGATTTACTCCAATGTCAGAATCAGAACAAAAGTGGATGTTACTTAGCCTACTTGTTCAGATGACATTTTCCAGTGAAGTTTATTATGTTGGTCAAACTTCCAAAAAGAATAATCTGTGATTCTGAATGCCAGCATCCACACCGGCGCGGTGACTGACAGCCGCACATTCTCCTCAAACATTGTGTTCATCCGCGCTGTGTCGCGTCGAAGTACACGTGAAGTTGATAATTCCGCGAATAACTGCAATTGCAGATTTCGAACAGAGATGGCGACAAAGAGGAAAAACTGCGGACTGCAGCTTTAATTTGCTGTGAGTAATTGAAATAATTGAATATAGTTTTTATTGTTTTATTTTTCATTTATTTAGACAAAATATTTTAGAATTTTTAGGCATTTATCAATTATATCATTATCGAACAAAATATAGTTTAAATAACACATACTCTTTTAATTATGCCTTATATAATGTGTTATGGTTTGTTCAGCCATCATGGAAGGAGTCAATAGCATCACTGGCCTCCAGCGCTCGACATGCTTTGGTGCCTCGACACACCCGGAGAGAAGCAGAGAGGAAGAGAGCCCTGAGAACAGGGTCTAGGTACACATTTTATGTGTGGTTTGTGTTGGAAAGAAATCAAACCTTTAAACTGTGAATGATTTTTAAAGGGATACTCCACAATTTTTTTTTCATATTAAACTCTGTTATTCCCTTAACTAAGATGAGTTGATACATACCTCTGTCGTCTCAGTGCGTGCACTCAATCGCTTTGGCGCGCGGGACTCTTTGTTAGCACTTAACTAGCCCAGTTCATTCAATATGTATAATAATCTCTTAAATATGATTAAAAGAAAAAATTGAATTAGATTAATCAGAGTTTATTTGAAACCTACCTCTCCCATGCATGCAAACACAATGCTGAAAGATAAGAGGAGATGCAAGGATGAAAATTAAGAAAATTAAAGGGGAAGATGCACACATACAGTGAGGAAAATAAGTATTTGAACACCCTGCTATTTTGCAAGTTCTCCCACTTAGGAGGGGTCTGAAATTGTCATCGTAGGTGCATGTCCACTGTGAGAGACATAATCTAAAAATAATATTTCACTGTATACTATGACAGTCACTGCAGGTATAGCTACATACTTTTTTGTGTAATTCTGTATATTAAACGTGTAGAATACTTCCCATACCTGTGGTATATGTTTGTGTCTGCAGTGCCCCCTCTCCAGTACTGCAGTTTGTGGAAGACCCAGACATGCATAATGCTCCTGAAACAAGTCTGACTGCCAGTGCCACCCCTGCTGCGGTTACAGTGCAGTCTAAAGCCCTGCAGACGGAAGAGATCGAGATTCCTCAGGTAACTTACCTGCAGTCAGTGAGCTCCCATTCCAATACAGCATTGCAAAAATACACATAAGATATAAATAAAATATTTAGGCTTTTATAAAGTCTTTTTTTTTCTTGTGATTTCAACAAAAGTTGTATTTAGTGGTGGCCAAAAGCGATAGGCCTAGGAAAATTGACCACATTTATTTAAATATGTTAAAAATTATTATTAAATTTAGTTTAAAAAAATATTAAGGATTTTGTAAGCATATTGCATAGTTGTGCTTGGAGTCCATTTTTTTTTAATTTGTGATAATGTAATGAAAAATACCAATTGTTTGGTATTGTGTGGACACAGTTCAGATCCTTCTTTTGACAAGTAGGCCGACGAAGAAATTATGAACACATGCAAAAGCAAGAGAGATCCAACGAAATATTAAAAAACGGATTATGTTGTAGTTAGTCTATGCTTTTTCCTGCGAGTTTTTTGTTTTTCTTTTTTGCATAGCAAAAATGATAAATGTACCTGCCTTTTTGCCCAAAAATATTGTCAGATAAATAACTTAAGCAAGTTTAGTATTTTGTTCTGCCCTCATATTTAAAAAAAAAAATATATATTTTCCTCATATTTAGAAGTTAATCGAACTTGTAGGGAACACAACATGAACAACATGTTTACTGATCAATGTTTACATGTGAATTAAAGCCTAAATTCAATCGGTTCATTATAAAAATTGATCATGTCTCTTTAAAACATTTCAATTCATATGGATTAGTTTTACGATTTCTTTATAAACTTTTTGAAGCGTCAAAGTGTCAGTTGCATAGCTATCTTTGGAGGGATTGAAAGTTCTCAGATTTCATCAAAAATATCTTCATTCGTGTTCCGAAGATGAACGAAAGTCTTACGTGTTTGGAATGACACGAGGGTGAGTAATTAATGACAGAATTTCTGGGTAATCTATCCCTTTAATCTTTAAAGGGGTATTATGTAGAATTCAGAAAGCCTTGTTATTAGAGACACTGGTGGCCATAAAGTGAACTGCAGCCAGCAACTTACTGCTTGTGAACACAATTTATAGTGATGCGATTGAACACCAATGGTAATAGTTACACACCAATAGTAAACGACAAAACCAAATCCTGCTCTACATTTTTTTCTCATTCTAGAAGCTGCTTCACTCTTCCATCACAACAGGGAAGAAAATGTCAAATTTAAGAAAAAATGAATGGGAGAAAATGCCCGTTGCACTCTGGAGATATGTCATAATGCTGAATGATCACCCTGTGAATATATTTTTTTTATGTTTATGATGTTATAGAGAGACACAACTGATCTCCAAATAGACCTCAGTGTTACCCAGAAGGCCATGAGGGATCTGCAGAGAGATAAATGGTGGGCCTTTTTTCAAAGTAAATCTTTGAGTATAGAAAAGACAGGCCGTGTGTGCATATGTTTGAACGTGTGTATGTTCATGTTAAATAACTGCATTTTTGTGTGCAGGCTCCTGGAGAAAGAGTTTCAGGTGTGGAGAGTTGCAGCCCAGTCAGAGCATGATTCACTGGAGGACAAATGCACTGAGCTGAAGACCATGATGGAGACGCTCAACCAAAATAATCAGCATCTGGAGGACGAACTTGACAGAGTCAGACATGTGAGAAGTGACATAAGGAGGGCATTTAGGCCTAAATATAAGATATATGTATTTAAATTCCATCTTTGAATTGCACAGTTTTAACTAATAAACTTGAAGGTCACCATGAAATCAATATTGGCGATTATTATTTTGATGGAATATTGCAGTATTTACTGTTTATAAATGATGTATCCGTGCACATCATTTTAAAAAAAAATCTCTTCTTTTCTGATGACGTTTGAGGGTGGAACAACCTTTCACTCAAATAAGATTATAATACACTGTAGAAATAATTATATGATCAATAAGTTATGCATTGATCAACTCATCAAAATAAATTCTTTTTTTTTTAAAATAAATTATACAAAATCCAACTAATTTTCAGTCAGTTTAATGTAATTTGACATTCAAGTTGATTGTTCTTAAAAAATTAAGGCAACTTTTTTTTTTTTTTTTACAGTGTAGTTAACTGTGCAATCCAAATGAACTTTAGTTGTAGGAAATATTTGTATTTATTTATGTAAAACATGAATGTAAAACAAGTTCTTTAAATGTCGTTTGCTGTCATTGTCACAGGTGTTGAGTCGTAGGGCCAGAGATGAACCCAGAATTGACTTTCATTCCCATTCAGACCTTCAACCAGAACATGATGACAGCATTAGTGAGAACAACTGGACACAACCAGGCTGTTTAAAACCTCATGACAGCTCCAGTGGAGAAGAGGAGATTGAGAAGGGGGGAGAAGGAGGAATAGAATTGGAGGAGGAGACTCTTTATGGGGTATCAGAAGACATCTCTACGAATCTAGATGACACAGATAGTGTTTTGAACCAGGATGTCCAGACAGCTTCGGGGCAGCAAGAGGACTTTGAGGAGGAGGGGCTACAGGAGGAACAGGAGGAGGAGGTACTGCTTGAAAGACAGGATCTTTCTTTATTCCATCAGTCCATGTCGGATTTAGCACTGGAAGAGCATTCCGGCTCAGACGAATCACAGATGGACGACGAGGAGGAACTTTGTGAGCTTGTACAGCAACTTAGAAATGAGCTTTCTCTATATACAACCACAGGTTTGTGCAGTCATTTTTATTATGCTTGCAACTTTGTAGCTTTGTTGTTGATCCTACAGAAAGTATTCTAACATGGTGGTTTTTGTGCTCAAGAAACATGAATTATTGTCAAAACTGTTGTGCTGCTTAATATGTTAGTGGAAACCATTGTACACTGGCATTTAACATTTTGGGGTAAGAAATTTTTTTTAAAAAATATATATAAATTAATACTTTTATTATGCAAGGGTGCATTAAATTGATTCTAGTGAGAGTAAAGACATTTATAATATTTCAATTTCAAATAAATGCTGTTATTTTGAACATTCTATTCATCAAAGAATCCTGAAGAAAATGCATCAAAGTTTCCATACAAATATTTAGCAGCAAACAATGTTTTCAACATTGATAATAAGAACAATTATTAATTGCACAAATAAGTATATATTCAGTATCATTTATCCAGATGATTTATCACATGATCCTTCAGAAATCATCTAATATGCTGATCTGCTGCTCTAGAAACATTTTTAAATTATTATTATCAATGTTGAAAACTGTTTTTTCTGCTTACCATTTTTGTCCAAACAATGAGACCATTCAAACATTTGCGATACGATTTTAAGAGAGAAATTAATACTTTCATTCATCAAAGATGCATTTATTGTGACAAAAGTGACAGTGAATACATTCATAATGTTATAAAAGATTTCTATTTATTGTTTTAATTCATTGATTTAATAATGAAAATAAATGCTGTTAATTAAAGTTTCTATAAGCTGGTTTCAACATTGATAATAATAATAATAAATGTTTCTTGAGCACTAAATATGCATATTAGAATGATTGGATCATGTGACACTGAATGCTGTTGTTATGATGCTGAAAAATCATCACAGGAATAAATTATATTTTTAATATATATTCAAATAGAAAACAGTTTTTTTTAATTTGTAATAATTTTTCACAGTAGTACTATTTTCACTGTATTTTTGATTAAATAAATGGAGCCTTAGTAAGCAGAATAGATTAAGTAGAAAATATAAATGTGTGTTTGTGCTGTTTTTTGCATTCTCTCCATCAGGGTCTGTCTTTCTACAGAAGGAAATGCTAATGACGGCAGCAGAGGGAGTCAGAGACACAGTTTCTCATTTTGTCAACTCCGTGAGGACCACCAGTTTGTCATGATGGCAGCCAATTCCCTCACTTCCAACCAGTACAAGCCAATTTTACAAGCCAAAGTCTCATCCCATCACAAGGCTCATCATAAATTTCAATTTACCAGCTCAATTCACAATTTAATGCAATCTAAATCTAAATATAAAGAGGTTGCAACTCTTTTTCAAAATTTACTTTACTATTTATTTATATTGGTAATCTAAATGAGACATTGGTTAATAAGAGAGGCACCAGTATTGACATTCTGGATGATACTGATAACGCTATCATATTCTTGTTCCTTCATGAATATTTGATTTTTGATTTGACTGGTCAATTGCAATTCAGTGATCAAATTATTGACATAACGTCTGTTGTCAAGGGCAATACAGAAGCGTTCACTTTGCATTTGGGTCTGTCTGGGTTTATTTTTTTAGATGGTTGGCTGACCCTTAATTATAACATTCATCTATAGTTAATATGTGATTTTATAGGCTGTTTTTAATTGACTTTTAATACTAGACATTTTGGATCTTTTTTATTTATTTAAATAATGTCCTCATAATATATTTAGTTTGTTGGACAACAAATAAACATTATCCATTTTTATATTTTGCATTTAATACACAGTCATTTTTTATATTCTCATGTTATGCAAAACATATTCATACACATATTCATAGAGTGTTTTTTTTTATTTTAAAGTTGTCATGAACGTCATTGTTTTTGTTTTGTTTTGTTTCCTGGGGTGTTCTTGTACTTATAATGTTATGATTTTTACATCAATGATCATAATTTGGAAATAAAGGGCATTTTCCTAGTCCACTGATTTGGCTCTGTTTTAAGGGGCGTGTCTGCTGTGAGACTTCAGTGGTAACAGCCACTGCTGTGATTGGCTAACATGTTTGCATTTGAAATAGCTAAGTAAAATATATGTGGAACCTCTTTTAGCACATTTTTTACTATTACAGCTCTCAAGGTTAACTAATCATGAAAAGTCAATTATAGCATTATATTCCGATCGTGGCATGAAAGGTTGCACTGATGACCATTGTAGCCAATCAAACATGTCGAGCGCATGAATAAAGTGATCTCCTGTGTAACTTGATTTCAGCAATAATAATAATAATTTGTTACATTTATATAGCGCTTTTCCTGGGACCTCAAAGCGCTTCACATATGGAAGGGGGAATTTCCGATGTGCCGCATTGGTGGTGGATGATGCGACCTGGATGATGCGATGGCGGCCATATTGTGCCAGAACGCTCACCACACACAAGCTCTACAGTACACACTAACGAAAGCATTTCATCTAACAGTACAAACATATGTAAATAAGAGATTTGTTGATTATACCTGAGTTTTGTCAAGAGTCCTGAACTCAGTCACTGATAAACTTGAAAGTAACATAGGCCTACGTGGCACTAAACTGGATCGAGCTACCAAACAATAAAAATGCAGTCGAAGATCACAAAATATTGTGCATTGCCTGGTTGTGGGAGAACATAGTCGGTGAATAAGCTTCCTTTGGACTCAAATTTTAGGAATGCGTGGTTGAACTTTATTTTTAAAGAAGTTCCAGCTTGCTTGGGTAAGACATTGCATGTTTGTTCGCTTCATTTCATCGCAGATTCCTTTATAAACAACACACAGTCTGGATTTGCAGACAGAATGATATTAAAAATTAGATTCTATATTGGATCCCACAGCCCACAGGAGTGGTGCAACACACTTATATGAGTTAAAGGGTCACTTCACCCATTTGCATTAAGCTTTGTATCTTTAGAAACCCAGTCATATTTTTGGATGGTCATGGTTTATTCCCTTATTTTCCCCTGAGATGGGAGAAATAAGGATTTAAGTGTTTTATTTCCTGCTTATCGTGACGTAAAAATCGTCATTTTGCGTCACGATAAGCAGGAAGTCACATTTCATTGAAATGTCAACAGTTTTGTCATATGAGAACTTCATGATGAAGCACAGTTTTCCCATTCCTTTTAAGGAATACAATGCGGTAGTTAAAGCCATCCCTTCTGGGTTGATCCATCTAATTAGGAGTCATGTTCTTTTTAATAAAGTAAATACCCCATATCCTCAACCTACATTGTCTTTGAACGGCATTCAATTACTTGATAAAAAATGTAACAATAAATATATTCGTACAATATTGCAAAGTAAAAACAAAGTCGTTCCAAGAGGAAATTTTTTTTGGAATTCACAGTTGGATGATATAAATTGGAAAAAAACATGGCTTTTACCTCATAAATTTTGCATTTCCAACAAGGTAAAAGAAGTGCATTTTAAAATCTTGCATAAAATTTATCCTGTAAATTCAATTATATCCAAATATATGGATGTTGATAGCTCCTGTTCTTTTTGTGGATGTGCTGATGAAACTTTTACTCATCTTTTCTTTCATTGTGATTCTACAAAGAAGTTAAATTATTTCATATTCCCTCCTCCCATGATGATTTATAACTTTTCTCTCAAGGATGTAATATGTTATTATGATAATAGTAAGGATCAATCTCTAATTCATGTGGTGAACTTTCTAATTTTATTGGGGAAATTTTTCATTCATAAGCAGAAATTCTTAGGCTTTCAACGCTCATTCCCTTTATTTTTAGTAGAACTTAAATTACTTTTCAATTCTCTTACCCTGATAGATAATAAGAAGTGTAATAGACTTATAGAGTGCTATGAAAATATATTTGGTAAGCTTCCCTGATATTATAGTGATTAATTTACCCAATATTTATTGGCTGTGTAAGAGGAATTTATTATTTATGTATTCTGTGGCTAGCTATTTTTATTGTATTTTTATTTATTTATTTATCTATTTTATTTAAATGAAATAATTGTAATGCGTATGTATGGATATGTTTGTGTGTATGTATTTTTATTTTTTTTTATGCTTATATTTTATGATGTGAGAAATTTGTTAACCTTTCTATTTCTGTTTGGTGTTTGAATGTATCTGACTAATTTTTGTAATTTACAATAAATTAAAAAAAAAAAAATAATTGAAATGTCAACAGACTACAATGATTAGCTCATTATTATTCAAGGGTGTGGCACCCACTCACCCACAGGCCTATTACAGATCAGTGGGTGGGACTTCACTTGCAGAACCTGAAATCAATATCCGCCATCTTGTTTGGAAGCTAAGCTAACAAGCCCTGTGGAGATATGAAGTTATGACAATGGAAGAAATTAAACATGATATGGAAGAAGAGGGTTTTTGAAAGTCTGCTGCTTGAATCCGATGTTCGTGGCTATCTTTACGAGCTGCGGTATAGTTTAGAGCAGCTGAGGCTGATGGAGGAGCAGGAGACGCCCGGACTGGGTCGAGCTCGGCGGCCTGCTGTTGCCTGTACACTCGCTGCGTGTCACGGCCTACGGACACAGAGTCCGTCTGCTGCAGAGAATTTCAACGACGGCAATTTCTCCTGGAGGAAATCTCTGAATCAGACGAGCACACGGACGTTTGTGTTGTGATAGTTTCGCCTTCAGAACATCCAGGTATCATGCAGTCATTCACCATACAGAAATGAATACAAACGCGGAGTAATTCACTAACGTTAATGTGTTTACAAATGTAACGTGAACGGGGTTTAATGTTGTGGGAAGAAAGAGGCATGAACCGGCGAACATTTAAACATTTTAATAGTAAAATGAACAAATACAAAACGAAAGTAAGCCAGCGTTACACACAACAAAAACAAAACATAAAATCAGGCCTTTTCTCTCTCGATCTGCCGTCGTCGCTCCCCATTTTATGCATTCGCTCCTTCTATTCGTGAGAGACGCACCGGCGCGCGCCTCACAGGTGTCTTTCATTATCACTCACGCCACCGGCCTCGCGCAGCGCGCCGTCCTCTTACATCCCTCGCCCTCGATCGTCCTGTTGGCCACAGCCAACTAACTAGACATTTTGTTTGAAATGAATTTCAAACTCTTACTCTGGTAACAGCTAATCTTCTTCTTCTTCTTTTTATTTGGCGGTTGGCAACTATTTCTTGTGCATTACCGCCACCACAGGACTGGAGTATGGCATAGGAGCTACTGTCTTATTCTTTACTATTATTAAAAACAAAATATACCAGCAATTTCATAGTTATTTATAAAAAAAATAAATAAAAAAAAAACTTTATTCCTATATCCTTTTTAAAAGGCCTGTACTTTTCAAAAAAGAAAATAATAGGTCAAAATTCTCCCTTGAACTTCTGTCCAATAATGTTTTAGTTTCTAAAGACATTTTCTTTGCTTTCAACTCATTAACTAGTCTTTGCCTTGCTTCATTGTATTTCTGACAGTACATTATTACATGCTCTACGGTTTCAGGTATATTACTCTGGCAATACTCACAATTTCCATCTACATGCTTTTTTATTAAAAACATTGTACTATTCAACTTTGTATGACCCAACCTCATCCTAGTCAGCACAATTTCTTCCTGTCTTGATCTGGTTATGTGTGTTTCTTTTCCCACTCTCCCTTGTATCCTATATAGATGTCTTCCTGAGCACCCATTATCCCAGATATGTTGCCACTTTTTAATAGTTTTAGCCTTAATTATGCTTTTTATCTCTGCTTTACTGTATTTTACATCTATATCTATATTGTTTTTATCTGTTACTCTCTTTGCATGTTCATCAGCCATTTCGTTACCTTCCACTCCTATATGGGCTGGAACCCATACAAATGTCACCCTCCTTCCTGATGCTTGTATTCCATTTGCTAGCTGTAAAATTTCAACCAAAATATCTTCCCTTGAATCAGACCGATAGTTCTGAATACTGTACATTGCTGAACTTGAATCAGAGGCAATTACTGCCTGCAGACAATTGTTAGACTCTAGCCACAAGAGTGCTAACCATATGGCAACCAGTTCAGCAGTATACACTGCTAGGTCATCATTTATCCTTTTTGCCATTTCTATGCCCATCTCAGGAATTACATAGGCTACCCCTACTCTCTTCTCAGTGTTTTTAGATGCATCTGTAAAAATCTTTTCCTGTTATATAGTTGCTTACCCCATACTTATCCACTCCATCTTTCTTCTTTACTTCCAATAGTTCTAAATCAACATTCAATTCTTGTAACATCCACGAAGGCATGATTGGATATGACACTGTTGGGCAGATGTTCAAAGATCCAATTCCCATGTTATTCACCTTATCTTTTATGACCCACCCATAACTTTTGATTTCCATACTTTCTTTTTCCTGACATTCCCTTAATACTATTTGAGACATGTGGTTCTCTTTATGCCCCCTGATATTTGCCCAGTATACCAGTGCTAGCTGGTCCCTCCTCAATTGCAGTGGCATCTCACCCACTTCTACTTGCATTGCAGCTATTGGAGAAGTTCTTATTGCACCACTAATTATCTGCTTGATTTTGCAAACCATCAAGTTTGTTTAAGCTTGTTTTGGAGGCAGATCCATATGCTATACAGCCGTAGTCAAACACTGATCTCATTAGACCTGTATAGATGGTTGGTAACAGCTAATGTCAGCGTTGTAGACGGAAGAGTGTGTTTGCGTCTCTGTTTGCGCTGTTCCGGTGGGTGGGTTAGTGGGTGTGTCTTGCGGAGCTGTGCAATGTTGGGGAATTCTGGGAACTGTAGTTTTTTAACACAAAGGCGCCCCTTGGTTATTTTCTGTCTTTTCTCAGTCAAGAGGGCACCAAATTAAAAAATGATTTTACATTTCGACTACATATATGATCCACTTTCAATAAAGATTAATGTTGCAATGGGTGAAATGCTCCTTTAAATGTATTTTATTTGTGCTAGTATTGCATTGTTACAGATCGTCTGA